TAAAGCAGGTAATGCAGACACAGAGATGCATGCAGTCTTGTCATTCGAGGTTAAAAGTAAAAGAGGTCTCGTCAAACTTAGGCACCAAATAAAAGATGATAAAGCTTACTGCTACCCTTGTTGCCACAAAGGCCTCACTGCAGCATTAAAGTGGAGAGGAGAAACGGTTTTTAACGAAGCAAAGCCTGAACCCTTTAATGACCCAGCCCACTCTTCACAACCTACAGCAACACATTCCCTGGATTTTGACCGCTGCAGATGCTTTGTCATATAGCGTGTCTCTGAGACAACAGAGGACAACCGTGAAGGGAGAATATTTGAATCCCTTGACCCTGGTGTGGTCCTCATCACAGTGTGTGGATCATGCTAGCATAGATAGGTCATTCAACATATGTGATCCAGTGGGACTCAATGGGCAGACACGATTGGTCCAGACTTTGCATAACAGGAGAACAGCTGTCAGTTTATTAGGTACACCTCCTGTAGCTTTAACTGCTTCAGTCTAAGACAAATGTCCTAAAAGCAATCCTCCTTCATTAAGGTGATAATGTTCAGTTTGTGCTCCAGAGGTGTCGATTCAACCGGGTGATTGTTTTGGAGGCGGTGGTCTCTGCTGCTGTTGAATTGTATTAAATTAAACACTGATCAGCCATAACATTATGACCACTGACAGGCGATGTGAATAACACTGATTATCTCATTAAAATAGCACCTGTCAGGCAGCAAGTGAACATTCAGTCCTTGAAGTTTATGTATTGGAAGCAGGAGCAACGGGCAGCGTAAGGATCTGAGTGACTTTGACAAGGGCCAAAATGTGATGACTGACGACTGGGTCAGAGCATCTCCCAGACTACAGGTCTTGTTGGGTGTTTGTGGTCTGCAGTAGGTAGTACCTACAGTACCAAAAGCACTCCAAAGAAGGATACACAGTGAACTGGCGACTGGCTCATGGATCCCCAAGGCTCAATGAGCAGACATCAGTCTCTATGAAGAGAAACATTCAGTGGCTATAGTAGTGCTATCACAACTAGAATAGGGAGGCTGGTGAACGTGTCTAAACAATGATATCTAACTCGTCCTCATGACCACAGTCTTCACTCCTTTCACACAGGTTTTTCACTGAATGGCTGACACATTGGTGCTCTTGCTGACAGTATAACTGTGGAAGTAAAGAGATTCAGAGAAGATGCACAGTGAGCTGCAGAGTGACACGAGTACCAACAAACTGCCACATTGACTCCACGTGTACACAGTATTAGGCAGGTGGTCATAGTATTAAGGCTGATCAATCGATAGTGGTGAGGCTAGGCTAAATAAAATAAATCCCTCTCTGCAAAATGCAGTGCAGTTCAACAGCCTCCAAAATGACAGCTGAACCGACACCTCTCCAAAATAGTGTGAATGCAGCCTGAACATCATCACCTTAATGAAGGAGGATTTACTGCAGGACAGCTGGATTAGACTGCATTTGTTTCAGCTCGGTGTACCTAATTGAAAACTGAGCATAAGAACTGGTCTGTTTGGTGGATATTTGCAAAGCTGCTGTTACGATCTTTGGGCTGAGTTATACGGGTTGCGCTCAGATTGGTTGTAGATTCTGAGAGGTCCGATACATTCACTGCTGTAGGAACTGAAGCTGGCATAGTCTGTTACCTTTCTCTATCAACACACACAGAGCAGAGGAAACGGCTTCCGAAGTACAGGATGAAAAGGTTGCATATTTGAACAGACCAAACAAACAGAATGCATCTCATTTTGTGGGTGTCAAACCCACTACTGCTCACATTTACAACCTTCATCTGTGTTAACCAAGGTCTGAAGCTGCCTGGTAGCTGCATATCAACAGTGAACAGCGATGTGCCCCCCCTTAATCTGAGCTATGGTAAGGCAAGACTGAAAAAGGGGCTTTCAGCCATGACTGACGGCAATAGTGTTTATAGCAATTTCATACGGCCAAGTCAAAGGTGGTGTGATGAGCCTGTTCTGACAAAGAAAGGTGAGTCACTGAAATATGGGGATAGGAGGCACACTGTCAGTCTCACCTGGAAGACACTTGTGATTCTGGTTGGAACCACCTCCCCCCGATCTTCCAGGAGAGACTGTTATCTTATCCCCTTTGGTACAAGTCACTGCCTCTGTTCCACACATAGTGTTAGGGTGATTTTAATAGCCCAGCCTTAACATCTGAGTATAGAGAGATAAAGTAAACGTAGGCAGGGATGGATGCGACTCGGTTCACTCGTTATGATGCTGTGAAACAAGCTCACCGGCTACAGTGAAGCATGGCATTTGTAGCTAAAGATATCTGTTATGTCAGTCAGAGAACTTGGAATGACAAGAGAAAAAGGCAAGATAGAGACAAAGACAGACAGACTGCTTTACAGGAAAAACAGCTTGTTGCAAACATCTGTTTACAGTTAAGTCATCTTGGGTTTTGGGAAAAGGAAAAGTCCAAGGCTGCTGGTGACTTTAAGACAGAATGAAGGTTGTCCTAGTAAGAGGCATACCAGAGGTGTTGTTGAGTTGAGCTTTTGCTGTTGCTGTTGCTAATGTCCCAGAGAATGACACTGCTAATGGAGTACATCGTCCCACAGTCCCGCCGAAGGCCAAGCAGGGCTAGCCAGGGCTTATTTAAAGGGACACCTAGAGATCTGAGATGTTGTCCCGTCCCACCATCAACCCCTCCCCGCAAATCACATGGCTTAGAAAGATGAATCAATGGCCCTGATCTTCCCTGGTAAGCCCCATTTGGCCCTATTAGTTTGACCACTGTTGTATACATTTAACATTTACTTCAGCATAGTCTGACACCCTTTTTAAATTTAAAATAGCAGCAATATCCACTTTAGCGTTTTTAAATATGAGAATGATTTCTTCTTTTGTTTACTCCACAAGATATTTACAAGGCTTAATATGTTCCTTCTGCCACTGCTGACCATTTATACATATCTAAGAGTACTTCACTGACAAGGACAATTCTGAACAGTGAAACTACACAGGTGGGTATGTCGCACTTGTCTGCTTTATCAGAATCTCAACTGTCTTAATGGACAAGAGAGTTGCTAAATAAAGCCTGCAGCAACTGATTATGTAATCATCACTTAGAAATGTTTTGTTCATTTTAAATAGCAGAGACATTTCTGGTGAAATGGGTTTTGTTTTTTACTTTAGCCAACTACATACGCAGATCTAGTCTTATCCTTTGGTAGTTATAAATTTAAAAAAAAGCAACTGATTTATTGAAAAACTGACATTAAATGTTCACTCAAAACTGACTTCATTTCTTGGTCTGGAGTTTTGAGCATACCACACAGTCTTCATCAGCTGATAAACAGTGTGGTTACTAGTGTTCACACAAGGCTGAAAGGTACAGTACAGTAAAGTCACTGCCCACTCCCTGTTGTGTTGAGCTTATTGTTTTCTTGTGTGATGTGATGTGCTGACTGAGCTATGTGCTGAAGATCATGTGATACCGTTGGAAACTGGGAAATATGAGCAGGGGACGTTGCGTAGAGAAATGACCAATTAATTAAGCTGTAATTTTTTTTTTCAACTTGATTTTGAGCTGTTCTATTTTATTTAAATGTCGCTATGATTGGTTTAAAGAATCAGTCCACTGAAGCAAGGACTGATGTTTAATTACAGATAGACTGTCACGAAATGTGAGCAAAAACGCTCTGGAAGGCATGAGAACTTCCTTTAACTGACAATTGGTCTTAGAAGAGGTACAATAGTACTGCACCTACATCAGAAATGTAGCTTGTGTACAGTATGTATATGTTGGACTGATGGCGTTATCTGTTACATTAACAGTTGCTATGAGGCCACAAACATTGGGTTTTATGGAGACGATGTTTTACTTAACAAGTCACTGCCTCAGAAATAAGTGGGTGTCTTTGCTCTTCCTCCCCCACTGCTACACAGGAGCTTCTAGTCAATGACAATATCAATGCTATGTGTGAGCAACCTGCTACACCAGTGCCCAGTAGTTTAGGGCCATAGACATTGCAGCCTTCTCATCTACAACATCTGATTTAACTGATCTGCACTTTAAACCAGAGGGGAAGAAGCTACTGTGCGTAGGTGGAGGGGTGAACTCCCGCACTTCCATGGGTGATAGCTGATGACAGCTCTCTCAGCAAATCTTTCAGAGGATTGCCTATCATACTGTAATGATGATGGGCTGGATTTGCATCAGAGCAACATGGCACAGAATGATCAGATTCAGGCAATCTGAGGATATTTACATCCAACGGCATCTCTCACCTCGACTCAAAAAGCGAGGCAGACAACTAATTAGCAGCACATCAATACATTATGCATCCATAAAGAAAAACAACAAAGACAAATAGAGTCACCAACATCCAAATTGCCACACAGGTAAACCCTGCGGCGGTTCCGAGGTACACTTATTGCTGAACAGTCAAGAGACACACTGTGGGATTTATGTGAGTATATTATGGCCTGCCAGATTTAATTTACAAGAATGTATTAGTTACTGACTTTTTAATACTGTGTATTTAATCTGTATCCATTTATAGGTTTCATTTTGACCGGTGCACCAAAAGACGTGCTTCTGATGGAACGTAAAACAAATAAATCTGTAAAATAAAACTGAATGGGTTTAGATGTATGGCAATTTTGGCAACAGGCCAAACACTGAAAGTGGCTGAAACAAACTTATATCAGGTGCTACATACATTTCTTTTGTCCTAAATACCCAACTCAAACACCTATGGGATATTTTGGGGAAACATACTGGACTGCATCTCTACCACCATTATCAAAACACTAAATGTGTATCCATTCAGTAGAGTTTAGAGAATCAATGTGGTTGTGGTGGCACGTGGTGGGCTCAACACGGTTTTGACTTTTCCTTTTAATGTGTCACCTGTCTGTACATGCATGT